CGCGCCGCAACGTAAGCACTGAACATTGGCTGCTTCTTGCTTTTTGCCATCGCCTCCTCCCGCCCGATGCTCTACACATCCTCGATCTGCTCAACCCGCGCAGCCTTGCCCACGCCGCTTTTGGTCGAGTCGGCATCGTCCGTGGCGTGATGGTGCCTGAGCTGCTTCGCCCGCGACTTGCTCGGCACCGTATCCTGAATGCAACCCCTGATGATGTTGCCCTCGAACAGCTCGCCGATGGACTCCAGTCGCACTCCCTTCGTCTCGGGCACGCAGAACACCGTCCAGACACCCATGACAATGCACAGCGAGCCGAATAAAAGAAACGTTCCGTACGTAATGTTGTCTAGCATCAGGGGGGTAATCTTTGCGATGACAAAGTTAAAGAGCCACTGCGTCATCAACGAGGCCGCCATGAGCAGAGATCGCACATGGTTAGGACTGCACTCCGATGCCAGCACGAATGGGATCGGTCCCCACCCGAACGAGTAGAACACGACGAAGAGATAGACGCACATGATGGCGAAGATTGCGTTGCCATCCAGCTCACCTGTGGGTGGGTGGACTGCCTGGTTGACGCCAATGTAGTACATCGCAAAGGCTTGGCCCATCGAGCCGAGGATCAACGACCACTTCCTTCCGAGTTGCTCGGTGAAGGCCATCAGGCCAATCGCGGTAACGACGATCTTGACGATACCGTATACTCCAGTTGCCTAGTTGCATGTTAGTCTGGCTCGCATGCAGTCTTGAGAAAATACGTACGAATAGCCCGGAAGAGTTGCCAGTAAGGCCAATCTGCTTGAAGATTTGCGGCGCATAGTAGTTGATCGAATTGGTACCTAATCACCACGTCAGTATATGCCTCAAATGCAGATTGCAGGTCGGAACTTCTTACCGGTCCACTGTTGCCAGAACATGAGGATTACAACAAAGCTCGAGCGGTACAGCATCTTCTTGCTCGAGCACGCAGCCCTGAGCTGAGCCATCATTGGCATCTTCTCATGGCCGTTAAAGTCGGCAATAATCTCGTCTAGCTCCTGCACCACCTCAGGGTCCTCGACGCTCTTGCCGCGGACGTGGGCCAAAGCTTTGGCGGCTTGGCTGAGCTTGTTCTTCTCGACGAGCCAGCGGGGAGACTCATTCATGAAGAGCATGCCCACAAGCAGGAAGGCGCCGGGAAGCATCTGGAGGGCAAATGGCACACGCCATTTTGTCGCGTCTGTGGGGCTAGGGATGTCGAGCGATATGCCGTAGTTTACGAAAAAGGACAGACAGATACCAGTCACGTTGAAGAGTTGCTGCTAGCGTTAGTGGGTCGGTTCCAGAAAAGCAGTCTTGACAGGTCATACCATGCATCCAATACAACGTCCTCGGATAGCCCTTGGCGCATTTTCTCCGATGTAGGTAGGGACGACCGCTGAAATCAGACCAACGCCGAAACCGCCAATGACGCGTCCAATGTAAAGCTGTGTTAGACTTGTCGTGCCAATTCCGCATAAGGTTTGGATCAAAGACCCAAGGATGAAAATGACGTCCGCAATGATGAGGGCCCATTTGCGCCCAAAAGTATTTGAGACGTAGAAACTAGAGAGTGCACCAAAGAAACACCCCGCCTGAAGAACGGACACGATGTTTCCCTGCAGATTGGCAAAGTCTTTGCTGTCCTTATCTAGGGCGAATGAGTGCTGGAACGCGTCCATCGTCAATACACCTACAAGCGCGTTAGCCATGATCATTGCACGTGCGAATGCGCACACATACCTCCGATAAGACCCGTGTCCCAACCGAACAGCATTCCACCAAAAGAAGCCACAGCGGTGAGTACATAGGCGCGACGGTACGTCTTGATGTCCGCCCACACCTCGGACATGTTGAGCTTGGCCATGATGGCAGCGCGTCGCAAAGGAAGCCAAATAGGACAGAAGAAAAGCCCGACGCGAATGCGATGGCGATGCGACGAGCGGTCAAAGACAGTGATGTCGATCTGTCAATGTACCTAGGTAAGGTAACATCGCGGCAAGCATCCGACTATATATCGTCAGTTTCCCCAGCACCAGCCTCGCAGCGCCCAGCTAGCCAAACTCCGAACCCAAAACCCGCAGGCAAAAGGCGAAGCCCATTTGGCTTGGCTGTCGGCATAGTGTAACGCGACGTCGGGGAGAATGACGTGGGGACGTATCGTGGGGACTCCAGATGTGCCAGTCACAGGGCGGAGCGCCCCATAGCTGGTGGGTCGGCATGGCGGGTGGTAATTATCCTTCCATTCAAACGCCGTTGCTGCGATTGTGTTGAGGCTCTTGCTGTGAATCCTACGGCTGCAGTGTGAGGAGACGAGTCAAACTTCTGCAGGGCTAATGGGCGGGATGAATCGCTGACTGTGCAGCGTAGATGCAGTTTCGGAAGGAATCCAGTGTGCGGACGTGTTCACGTGCGAAGATGTCGGGTGGCAGACTAGGCCCATGCTTAGCGTTGCTTACGGGCGGTGAGCTCGTCTTGTGCATGTGAAGAACCCAAACAGCAGCCGATGATTTCTCGAACGTGCGATATTCTCACGATGCAAAGACCGACTCCAGGTTTACTCTTACATTTCCCCTTGTTCTCCACAAACCTTCAAAGACCGACCCCAGGTTTTCCTCCTCCACATCTTGCCTCCGCACGGAAGCTAGGCGATTGAAATTGCGACAAGCTTCTCATTGGCCTAGTCACTAAGCAATCCATATGCCGAGCCAAGTCACCGGCTCCGACGCTGCCTCCTATATCCTTTAAGCCGACATGCGGCCTGGCATAGAGCGTGTCGGGACTGTGTAAACGGCAATACACGAAGCTTTCTAGTTATAGAAATGTCAAGTTCGCTTTCATGCAGAAGAATAGTTGCAGGCAGATTTTCATCATTCTTCATTACCAAACTGAGTACAGATGTTTCCAATTCGAAGACCAATCGTCCAGACGATCAATCACAAGTTTGCCTTGCCCTTCTGTTCGGGTACTTGCGTCAACAGCTTATCGCTCTGGATAGCCGACTTCAAGTTATCCAAGACCAATATTTCCATGTCGCGCTGAAAGCCGTCAGTTGTAGTTCATAGTCAATGAGATGCATGGACAGCGCCACTTACCTGTGTCTCGTATGTGCCGGTTCCGACGTGAGGCAGCAACACCGCCCTCTCGCATTCCAGTAGTCCCGGGTGGATCTTTGGCTCCTCCTCAAACACGTCCAGTCCACATGTCCAGACCTTGCCGCTCTTCAGCGCGTCCACCAGAGCGGCCTCATCGATCAATGCACCTCGTGCGGTGTTGACGATTATCACTCCATCCTTCATTGTGTTGAATTGCTCCTTGCCAATGATGTGCGTAGTCGACGGGTTGAGTGCCAAGTTCAAACTGAGGACGTCGGACGTCTTGAGCAGTTCCTCGAAGCTCACGTACTTTGCTCCATTCTCCTCGTTGGCTGGTAGCTGATTGCGGTTGTGGTATTGTATCTTCATGCCGAATGCCTTTGCGCGATGTGCGACTGCCGAACCGATGCCACCCATGCCTAGGATACCGAGTGTCTTGTTCTTGGGGTCGTGACCGAGGGAGAAGTTACCACGCCATTTGCCTGTGCAATGTGTCAGCAACCGTTTAACGAAAAGCTGGAAATACAAACCGTTGTTGACTGCCATGTATGCTTGCTTGATATTCCGCAGCGCGCCTAGCATCAGCCAAATGGCAACGTCTGCAGTCGCGTCGTTGACCGCTATCGGCGTGCTCGAAACCGATATTCCCCTCTTTGTGCATGCTGCGACATCGATGTTGTTGTATCCCGCTCCGTTGTGGCAAACGTACTTCAGGCTCTTGGGGAGAGCGTCAAGCAGTTCCGCGTTGAAATCTCCGGTAATCGGGTTTGAGTCGTTGCTTCGGTAGAGAGCATAGATGCCGTCAAATTCGCCGCTCTTGCACTTCGAAATGAAGTCTTCCCGGTTACCATCGGGGTACTCGTGCAACTTCGATGCTACTTGCGAAACCTGCTGCCACTCTTTTTGGGCGTGTGATAGCTTGCCGATAAGAAGTGCTGCTCGTTGCGACATGGCGGATATGTGATTTGTGAGGGTGAGGAAAGGGTAATTGAGTACTCTGGTGGAATGGAGGGGTCGAGACGAAAGACCTGCCGGTTAATGTTATCTTGAGCGCAGCGGCGTTTGGTAACCTTTTATTACGTGCTGCCAGATCCACCAACGGCGCTGGTCAACGCGGCCTATCTCGGACCGAACCTATTTGATTGCAACATCGAGCGTAGTAATTTACTCCGCTCAATTGGTAGCATGACATTCTGCTATCCCAATCATTTTGTTGTTACAAAGATCTGTGTATTGAGAGAGATGATGCAACCCCACCATCACGGCCTCGGCTGCCCCGCCATCGTCACTTCCAAAAGCATATGCAGCGATGATAACATCCGACACCAGGAACAAACATCCGCCCAAACCTGCACGCAGTAGATGTGCTTCTACTTACTATGTTCTACCACGCTTCAATTACGCGACTGCTTCGCGTTCAACGATGACACGAATATAGAACACGCTCGGCATTTGACCTTGCCAGCTTGTTCGAGTTCAAAAGCCGACGAAACACGTGAGTAAGCTAGCCTCTTTCGCTGCACCAACACCGAATGAGCCAAGCGTGGTCTCGGGTGAGCATCGGTGGTCTCTCATCTCCCGAGCCGAAGGATGCAGCTTCCAGACTCAGGCCGAACGCCTTCCAACATCAGGCAGCTGCAAGGCAAACATGCAAATGGCTGCCTACATCAGCCTGAACCTTAACGAACCTTAGAAACGGGCGAAATGAGCGAAATGATGCATCCGTGGCACCTATTCGGAAACTTTTGTGACTGTTGGGCGAGCACTTCACATTGCAGAAACGTATAAGATCATGTAGTCTCATAGAATGTAGCATCGCAATTCATCAGTGAGAAACAGCATTCGAAATATTATACCCTCTACACTCATCGCAAAAAAGCATCAAACATGGAACTGAAGAGCATTGCCATCCTTGGAGTCTGTCCACCCATCCATTCAAATCGCCCGTCACCTCACTTCAAACTGCTCTACAACGGCCAAAACTAACACATATAACAGCCAGGAGGAAATGTCGGAAACGCCATAATCACCGAACTCCTCAAAGACGGACCCCGCTTCACCATCACAGGCATCACGCGCTCAACATCAACCTACAAACCACCTCCTACCATCACCCACCGCACTGTCGACTACATGTCCTTCTCCTCCCTCCAAACTGCATTCGAGAACCAAGACGCGGTCGTAAACTGCATCACAGGCGGAGCCACGCACTACGAGCCATCCAAAATCATCATCGACGCCGCGGTCGCTGCAGGCGTCAAGCTCTTCTTCGCCAACGAATTCGTCGGAGAGATCACCCGAGAGGCGTTTAGAAGATTACCGGAAGCTTTCGTTGGCGGTAAATGTAGGATCAGAGAGTATCTGGAGGGATTGGGGAGGGAAGGGAAGATGGCGTGGACGAGTTTGAATGGCGGGCCGTTCTTCGATATGTGTACGTGGTTTCTTAGTTATGTGACCTGATTTTGGAAGGGTGGTACTGACTACTGTATGATAGGGTTGATGAAAGGTCCTGCAGGCTTTGGTGAACACCTCCTAGTCAATTCCATACCACCACCATCCCACTAACATCACCAGACATACCCAACCGCCACGCCCGCATCTACGGCTCCGGTAACCAACCCTTACATTGGACCCCGCTACCCACAATGGGCCTCGCAGCAGGAAACATGCTCCGCAACCCCGACCCTATCCTCAACCGCCCCGTCCTCCTTGATCCCATTACCCCTTGTTCCACTGTCACGCAAAACACGTTGTTGCGCACCCTTGAAAAGGTTCTCGATACCACCTTCACCATCTCGCATGTTGATGTGGATAAGATCCACCGAAACGCTTTGCTCGTGTTGGAGAAGTGGAAGGAAGGCGGTGAGCAGGAGGAAGGAAAAGCGCAGATGGGTAAAGCGATGAAGGGGTTGGGCGTGTGTAACCAGTTTTATGAGGGCGATGATGAAGGTCATGCGGAGGACTTGGAGAGGACTGTTCAGAATGAGCTCGTTGGTGTGGAGACCATGCAGTTGGAAGATGCAGTGAGGGATGCGCTGGAGCGATATGGGGAGAACTGTCAGGTTGTTCAGGGTATGTACAACGTGGAAGCTTGTGAACTTTAAATGTTCTACTACTGCCAGTACGTTCTTCGGGTCTATCATATCTTTATCAAAATTAGAAATGCAGTTATACAACTTCACCCTGGCATGGAATATGGGGCTTACCTCGCCGTGATGAGTATCATATCAAAGATGAAGCGCAAGGAGTCTCATGAAACCGCACTTATGCTAAGGTGGAAAACAGTAGCAACATGGGACACAGTCAACGGCTGCAGGAGTAACGGTAATCCTGGTACAGTAGTGTACACAGCAATTATGTGGTATACTACATGCTTTTTTGGGTGTTGTACAACGAGACTGGGATTGCTGATTGCTCAGACATGCCGCTGTCATTCTATATTTTGTTCTGAACCCATGTCCTTGAAGGCGCAATGTTCATACCTCTTTCATCCACAGTGCTGGCGAGTGTACGCGACACATCTAGCCACCACCTGGATCATACCCTTCATATCCTGGATAACCTTGCTGATCTGGATCCTGAAAAGTCGCTGGATCCCATTCCCAGTGATCGAAAGTCGATTCGTAGGGATTTCCATAGAACAGATTCAGAGGCTGACCGTATTCTGTTAGCCCAGTGGTGGGATCGTTCAAAATATCGCCGCCAGGAGCGTCGTAGAGATCGAAGTTGCCTGTGTTGGACTGCGAGTAGATGTTGCTGTTGAATGGGTCAGCGCTTGGCCATGCAACATCTGACTGCTGCAACGTAAGAGGTTGACTGTACGGCTGATATCGCTGCTGTGAGTCAAAGGTCATATGCTCTATATCTTGCTGCTTTTGGTGCTGATCCGTCATTTGTGGCTGAGGTAGTCGACGACGGGCCGCCTCTTCTTTAGTCTGCTTATTCATGACTCTGGCGATAACATTGTATGCGTTCTCGCTGACTTCGTCGACGGGTTTCATCGAATTCAACCATCGAATGAGCTTATCGATGCAGGCTGTAATGTGTGACTTTTCGACCGTTAAGTGTATGCCGTCCAATGACAACTCAAGTAGTAAGACCGTAAGGGCTTGCATGACTATAGGGGTGGTTAGCCAAGCTCCATATCGCAATGTGTGAGGTTCTTACTTATATGAACAGCACACCACCACGGACCGTGTCCGTAAAACCATGCAGGGTTGGGAGGATCTGGCAACATGGAAGTGAGATCTAGAGCTGCACCTATGCAGGCCTCAGCAGATTTCTGGTTGAATCGAGTCGACTGCTCGCTCTGGCCCTTTATGCGCAGGTCTAGCCGGCATAGACAGGGCCGGGTGATGCAAATTTTGGCGTTGTGATAATAGATGTAGAGCAGTACCTGCTCTCGGCTCAGGTTGCTCTCTGAAGTGGCAGCGGTCGCTGTTGCTGGACCCCGAACCAGGGAGTGCAAGGCCCAGGCTTCTAAATCGTCAGACAGCGAAGCAATCTCCTTTTGGGCAGCCTTCCAGGACTTGGCAGACTTTTGTGCGGAATACAAGCCAGACAAGATCTTGTCCATGAGGATATCGATCCTAACGTAGGCTACGTCAAACGGATCTACGCTGGTTTTGATCATGGACTCGCCAGCAGAAGACTCAGATGCCTGTCTGATTGCAGCTGATGTGGTGGTTTCACGAGATGATGAATCCAGTTCTGTACCCTTTGCGCCTGGTGGCGGTACAGTACAGTCAATGGCGCTTACAGTGCGTGGGCGCCCAGTTATGCAAGTAAGAACACATTCGATGGAGTAAAGTGACCACCAAATCTGGGCCAGGGCCTTCTTTCTCTTGGGAGACATGGAAGGGTCTTCGTGTCTGAGGTGCAAGCCTGCGGCCTGTGCGTGTCGAAGGGCGATGCCAATCATGTACCAAGCTCTGCAACGTCCTTGTTAGCATACTTGCAGGCTACAAAGGCGAATGTGCCTTCGTTCATCCGAAGTACGACGTACCTGCTGACATGACCTATTGTCAGGTAGTAGAAAGACAAAAGCCCAAATGCCTAGACATGGGTCAAAAGATGTTCGGTCCAGTTTCAGTGGATCTTACCTGAATCAGCGCTTGATCTGGCTGCGCAACGAGAGTATCAATGCTTTGGAGCTGCAATAAATGAATTGCTCTCCACATATACACTAGGTGATCACGATCGTCGGCTTGCCATTCGGCGCCGATGAGATGAGAATAGCGTGCGCCAATAGCGAATACGAGGTTCATAACAGCTTTCCACTTTGGGCAGACGACCAGCGTAGGACTGCCCTGATCCTTGGCAAAGTACGTTTTCAGTTGAGCTTCGAACATGTCACCTAATATGGGGAATGGGCTATGCACAACTGCTTTGTAGTAGTCGAACAGCCTCTCGGCCGACTCAGCAGAGGGTATGACGTGTGGATCACCAACATCAATGTCGATGTTGGATTTGTCAAGGTAAAAGTAGTAGCCAGAAAACTTGTCATGGTGCGGAGAAGGGCGAGTATGGCTCTGTTGCTGGCGTCCGTGAAGCGCTTCAGCACGCTGGTTAAAGGCGTCGCCGTCGACGCCCGGTGGCCCGTAAGGCATGTTGGCAGGTTCGCCCTCGGGCTGTTCGATCTTGGTTTCCAGGGCTCTGAGCCACTGAACGTGCGAATTGTGACCCATGTAGCCCGTGCTGTCTGCCTCATCCGTATTGAGAATGTCCTCTTGGACGAAGTCTAGATCTTCGTTGGAGCCGACTGAAGCTGAGACGTGAGCTTCTCCGCCATCTACAGAGGTGGCGCTCAGAGCATCGTCATTGGGGGAAGGTGACGAAGCTCTTCTTGCGCGCTTGCCATGAGAGAGAGCAGGTGTTGGTGGAGGAGGCGGCGTGTCGTCTTCGAAAGATGCCAAAGTATCCTCAACTCTCTTCTTGCTCTCATCGTCAAGCTGGCTGCTCACTTCAATCAAGAGTGCAGTCAAGGCGTGCGATTTGCGTTGAGCTCTTTTGATAGTCAGACGGGGATGTGGAGCAGATGAACAAAGACATGAACAAACCCTTTGAGGCGGTCCTTGCGCTCCAGGTCGTAGTGACAATCATTGTCCTGCCGTTGACAGTTGATACATTGCGGACGGTGGCCAGAGCATTTGATCTCTGGGGCTAGTCAGCAAGCCGAAGTTGTGCGATCTAGACATGAGGAAGGGCCCACTTCGTTTACGGCACTGCGTGCACTAGAAGCGGACGTCAGCACCGGCCCAATCGTACAAGAGAGTTTACTCACAGCCTTGCTCACTACTTCGGTGCGGACCCGAGGAGTTCTTGTGGCAGGCGGCATCTGGTATCCATGGCCAGGAATTCTTGGTATGGCTACCTTTGCCTCCCTGGAGCTGGAGCCCTCGGGCGGGTAGCGGCCGTTGTCCATTCACTCGGACGTGACCACCTGCAAGTGCTGGGAGAAGGGGCGAAGCACGTGCGCAGAGGCGGAGGTAGAGGGAAAGACTGAGGCGGAGACGACGGTCCGCCTAGATGTCGTAGCGTGGAGTTACGAGTGCAGTCCTTATCGGAGTAGCAGCTGCGTCGTGGTGACGGAACGGGGGAGCATTCCGGCAGACAACCTTTACGCGTTGACCATTATAAGCCAGAATCGGGTAGTTTTCGAGACGAGGAGGGCGCCTATTAGAGGAAGGCGCTTTGTGCCGTGGCCAATGGGCGTCGAGGCGGGCGACGTCATGTTGTGTACGAGCAGGCAGGCACGTACGTAGGCGAGGAGGGAGGTCGAGGTGCGCGAGCCCTGCACCACCCACGTGCAGTATAATAGCAATATTCAAGACGGCGCGGCCACGACCCGAATCGCGTATCTGCCTGACAGGTGAGCCAGCTACTGCCCATGGACGAGAACCTGCCTCCAGCCCGCTCGCAGCTCACCCAGCGCGCGGCGTTATCTCGGGCGCGGCCTGCGTTGAGTCTGCAGCGGATTGTGGGCGCAGGAGCATGTGAAGCTTGTCGCGGCCGCATCACCAAGGTAAGTCGGCGGCCGTGCGCGAGCTAAACCCACCCACACCTCTGACGCTACCAGTGCTCGACCGAACGTCCCCAGTGCTCAGAGTGCCGGAAGCGGCACACGCCATGCAACTACCTTCAGCCTGCGGTCCGGCCCGTTGCTGCCAGTGCCAGGCGATACCATGGCCAGGTCCAGGTCCACGCACACCATCACCCCCAGCATGCCCTCCTCCGGCACATCTTCGCTCATCTGCGCTCCCAGCCATGGCACGTCGCCCAGGACATCCTCACCCAGCTGCGTCGCGGCACCGACGAGCGCACCCTCCTCCGTTTCCTTGAGTATGGCAGTCTACGTGTCCAGCTCAAGCTGGTCCCAGACACGACATACCAGTTCACCGCTCCCTATCTTGCTGACATGATGCCGCTCTTTGGCGGTGCCGACAACCCCTACCTTGCCTCCAGGCTGTACAAGGCCCTGTCGGACGAGACTGCCCATCACGGCACCGACATCCAGGAGCAGACTCACAGCGCCATCTACCACGTGCCCTATCCCGGCGCCCGCATGTACGATCCACGCATGTCGCCAGACACGCTGAGGCCATCCAAGTGGACTTCGATAAGCGACGACGACGTCTTCCTCACCCGCCTTCTCGAAGGCTACTTCCTGTACGAGTTTCCATTGTGGCCTTGCTTCCACAAAGATCACTTTCTCGATGACATGACTGCTGGAAGGTCTGATTACTGTTCACCACTCCTAGTCAGCGCTATTCTCACCGCAGCCTGTGTAGGTTCCATCTTGGCTTCTCCCACTTGCTTCCTTGTGAGCTGACACGATCGACAGCACGGCTTGAGTACACTTGGGCAGAGGTCCGAGTTTTGGAACCCCAACACCTATAGCTATCGGTGTATGGCTGAGACCAGACAGCTATGGGAGCTGGAACAGTCACAAGCCGTGTGTAGTCTTCCGTCTGCCCAGGCAGCTACCATCATAGGCCGAATATACTTCGCCAATGGCATGGACAAAATGGGCTGGACAATGTGGTCTCACGCTCTAGCGCTTGCGGATAGACTAGACTTATTTGCTAAGAGCGCGCAATACAATAACAAGAAGGACCGCATTTCAAGAACCATCACAGCCTGGGGCATCTTCTCTCAGCAAGCGTATGAGCTTACCTGATTTCTCCTTGCCCTCGTCTCCTCTTTCCCTCCCCCTCCTCCTGCCCCTGCCCCTACCCCCAACGTAGTATTGAGATCGCCTCTGATGTAGGTTCAGGTTCTCTTGCTTTTACCTTATGAAGCCCCCACTGTCTCGACTTCCACCTGAGGACGGCTTGCCCACGTACCAAGACGCACAAGACTTCTTTGGCGAGATTTGGGTCAAATACCCTCTTGCGACACACGTGGTACGTCCCCACCTGCCCCTCATGATGGACCAAATTGACAAGCTACTAGACTCCCATCTACCTTGGACAGACATTCCTGTCGCTCATCAAGCTTCGATGCATCATGAACGACATAGCCGGAAAGGCTCTTCCAGAGGACGATGGAGATAACAATCTCGATATTGAGCAGGCCGGTCGTTATCATTCTATGCTGGTACAATGGTTCCGTGATCTTCCGGAGCCGTTACAGCCACAGAATGCCGCCATGCCGACACAGCTTCTGCTACAGTGAGATTTGACACACCTTCCATGTACAAATGACTAACGTTTGGGTCACAGCATGCAGTTCCACAACCTCGTTACCATGACCTTCCAACCGTTCCTGGAAAAGGAAAAGTCTCTCAACTGGCCCAACAATAGTGGCGCATTCCAAAAGTATACAGGCTTCAGTCCGGCCCAACTATATGCTGCCTCGAAAGCGAGTCTGCAGACGCTTCTCCACATGTTCTTCCACCGTCACGGCTTCGAAGCATACTACATATTCCTACTCCAGGTCCTCGTCCAGCTAGGCTTCGATTCGATCGAGCGTCTACGCACCCCGGAAGCGCAACAAGAGCATTTTCCGGCCATAATGAAAGCTACACGAGCTACACTCATATTGTGCGCCAAGGGCTTGCGCGACCAAGGCCATAACTTCTTCTTGTCTGAATTGGTATTCCGTATCTTGCGCGACAAGATGAATCCGGTAGACGTCAAGCTGCTCAAGGACTGGGCGCACATCAAAGACGAAGATGACAGGGAGAAGTCGATGATGGAACACGTCTATGGCGAATACCCTGTCAACGTAGAGTCCATCACCTCGGATCCGACCGAACAACGTCTGAATCGGCTGTTGCAGACTATGGCTGATCTCAAGCTTCCCAACGATACTGCTGAGCCAACTCAGCAAGATAGGGCATCGAGGACATGGCGAAGCATCGTTTTTTGAACGCGTCGAGAAATTGGTGGAATCGGAGCAAGGTGGAGGCTACAACAACGCTGGATACAATATACGATTCTTTGATTACTGTGCTATTCGTTACATCCAGCCTCAATGCTTTGGCTCAGAACTGTAGTTTCCATCTCCTGCGCATCTTCACGTGTGCTCAGAAACCACAGAGCGTGACCCACTTTGTCCGGTGGGTCTTTTTTTGCCGGCCACTAATCCTGACGAAGTACTGTAATCCGGATAAGCTCATCTACCAGACCTTTGATCCACGATCACGATCACCATGGTAAAAGTTTTTTGCGTGCTATGTGCTAGCTGCTAGATCGAAGGACTGGACGAATTGTATGCAGGTGTCCGCGGCCAGGCAGCTACCATTGGCTACGGGTAGCATGCCCTGCAAGCTAGCCTTATCTGTATGTTCGAATCGAAAATTATGCGCGAGTTATCGTGAAAGTACAAGTATCGTCAGGTGAGGTTCTGGTTCTTCGATTGAAATCCATGGATGCGACAGGGGCATGCGCGGACTGGTGATGTCACTGCTTGATTCGGCCGGTCTTTCGGAACGACACATGTCTGGGCGCGGGTTGGTGGAACTGGACATTTCAGTAGCGGTACTCTTACACACTCCACGACAGCGCTACATATCCGACAAACGTTTTTTGGAACTTCGATGAATTTTCTCGGAGTCGTGCAGTGCATGTACATCGACCCTCTCTATGGATCTATCGGAGACGCCGACGCTCATCATTGGCCCTTCTTCTTCTGCATCTCCATCTTCCTCTCGCGCTTATCGGCGATCCTCTGGAAAATACTGCCATCGTATACCGCGCGAATATCCTCCTTGATATTGTTAGCATGAAGAGCAACTCAAGATAGATTCCATCATATCGTTTACCTTCATCATCCGACCGTCTTCGGGCCAGAGTGTCAAATACGTTGCAGTCCCTACTTGATATTAGCATTCCCCCCTCATATTTCTTGAAATCTATCATGCTTACACTCAAAGATGAATCCACACATCCCGATAGGATCGTTGATGTTTCTCTGCCCCTTCAAAACGTTGATCAAATCACCCACGGTCAGATAATCCCGTCCCTCCGCGTACTTGGTGAAGATCTCTTCGAATTTCGACGGTATAAACCGCCCCTCGGTGTCATACGTGCCTGTATCACTACCGTGCCGCGCTCTATGCACGTTGTTCAGAAAGAGACGGAAGTAGGGGTCCGGAAGCCATCCCGAGCACGTGGGATAGGAGAAGTTGATGTGGATGACCAATACGGCGAAGGCGGAGAAGAAGAGTCCGCAACCTAGGCGGTAGAAGCCGACAAAGGTGTCTTGCGGCCAGAGAATACCATCGTGGTCGCGGTCAAAGAAGTCGCAGTGTTGTTGCAGCACGGTTTGATGTGAGTGCTTCTTTGCCCAGTCGTCTTGCGTGCTGCCTTGAGGTGTTTCCTCTGAAGGAGCGAGGTTTGCACGTGCGACCGCTATGGAGGGTTAGCAGACGACGTAGTAGTAGCGTGCGCGCCGTGGTACATACCTGCGTGTGGTAGGTTTGACTTCTTCCCTTGGATGTATGGTTTCCTCTCTTGGGTAATGGGTACATTGTCAATCGCGTAGACTGGTACATCTCCACCAGACTCCGCATGTCCATTCGCTCCTTCCATCTTTGCGATCATGATTACGGTAACAGTATGTATGGGAATTAGAGGAGGTTACACACGACAAAATACAACTGGATTAAAAGCAACGCCCTAGGTATTCGCCCTGCTGTAGTCGCGAGGCGTGAGCCGCATGTTCCTATTGGATCAAGGGCTCACCATGACGTCAATGACTATGTCAAGAGCCTTGGTATGGCAGTGCAGCAGCTCAAAAAAGGTTTCATGGATTTGTTTGCCACGTCTGAAACTGTCGGTTCGTTTCCGTATTGTCACTGTGATTGCAATGTGGCGTGCGTGTGCTTGCATGCTGCACGTTGGTTTGCGGCTGCTATCTTTCAAAATGTGGCTCCGCGGCCAATCACCGAAATGTGACCCTGCTCTGGAGCACGCTGTGGCTTGATCTTCAGGTACGCGTCAGACTTGGATCATCCGCGATATATCGCCTGTTCATATACGTCTACCGTTTACGTGATGCATCTTCCTCGACTATCAAGGCAGCGCATTTTGCACAATCATGTCATCCAACTGTTCGACTTTGGCAGCTGCAGTCAACATCTACTTCTCTAAAAGTTGTGTGTTTACTGAAAACTGCATGATGCTAATATCATGCTCCATCGGGGAATCACACAATGCCATGAGCATGCCGTGACCTGGACTTTGGCGGTTGATGTTTTACTGAGGATGTTGCCTTCGATCGTGACATTGTAGATCCTTATTCAGTGTTAGCGCACATAGTTATGGTGAGATTGATAGATGGCTGCAGACATGGTGTTGATCCAACAGCGAATCCGATCTGGCTAGCGCGATCTCGGGGATGAATGACGCGCATGCACGGGACCGCGGGAACACGCGCCTTCCAGGTGTCGCGTCTGCATCGCATTCTTCAATTCCACTATGCAACACGGCTAGTACCCTCGCAGACTCTATTGCGCCCTCCTCGAACGCGACCTAATCTCTGATATGAGCCGTCACTCGGCATGTCGTCACCATCGCCGGACTTTCATTCGTCGCAGTTCTCCATCACCTCTCCGCGTCGCATTCCCAAGTCCAAGTTTACGTATAAACAGCTACACCAGCTCAAGACGTACAGCCCGCAAACGCCCCTCCGCGTGATCGCGCACGTCGACCTCGATGCCTTTTACGCGCAGTGCGAAACCGTCCGCCTCGGCATCGACCCCTCCAAACCGCTCGCAGTACAACAATGGCAGGGCCTGATCGCCATCAATTACCCCGCGCGCGCATTCGGACTCAGCCGACACGTCACATCGACAGAGGCATTGAAGCAATGCCCGGATCTTATACTACAACACGTTGCGACGTGGAAGGAAGGAGACGAGACATGGGCATATCATGAGAACAGCTTCAGGGACATGGCGACGCATAAAGTCAGCCTGGACCCGTATCGCATGGAGAGCCGCAAGATCCTGAAATGCATCAAGGAGACTCTGCCTGAGAGGGAACAGCGCGTCGAGAAGGCGAGTATCGACGAGGTCTTTATGGACCTGAGCGCGCAGGTGCATACCATATTGCTGGAGAGATACCCCGAATTGCGAGGCCCCGCGCCGTACGATGACCCGACGGAGCCACTGCCCAAGGTGCCTACAACCGTGTTGGACTGGGCGGCCGATGCGCTGGTTGAGACAGGCGAGGAAGATGGAGAAGATAGAGACCCAGACTGGGACGATGTCTGTATGGTCATCGCATCCGAGATTGTACGAGATGTGAGGAGACATATCAAGGATACGTTGGGCTACACATGCTCTGGGGGCGTTGCGAGGAACAAGATGCTATCGAAACTAGGGTCAGGATACAAGAAGCCGAATCAACAAACCGTTATACGGAATCGCGCTGTCAAGCACTTTCTCTCCGACATGAAGTTTACCAAGATTCGCATGCTGGGAGGCAAATTGGGAGACGAAGTAGTCGCCATGTTCGGGACAGACAAAGTGAAGGACCTTGTGGAGCAACCATTGGACCAACTGAAGAAGCTAGGCGATGATACCGGCAGTTGGATATACTCCATCATTAGAGGCGAAGACAGCAGCGAGGTCAACCCGCGTACGCAGATCAAGAGCATGCTTTCAGCGAAATCCTTCAGACCAGCCATCAACTCGTTCGAGCAGGGTGTACGGTGGCTACGCATCTTCGTGGCGGACATATTCTCACGGTGCGTGGAAGAGGGTGTGCTGGAGAACAAGAGAAGACCAAAGAGCATCAACTTGCATCATCGCCAAGGTGCACAAACACGGAGTCGACAAGCACCAATACCCCAGGGCAAACCACTGTCAGAAACCATCTTGTTCGATCTCGCCAAGAACCTCCTAGCTCAAGTTGTCGTCGATGGGAGAGCGTGGCCTTGCTCCAATCTTTCTCTGAGCGTCGGGGGTTTCGAAGACGGCATCACGAACAATAAAGGAATTGGCGGCTTCCTCGTTCGAGGCGAAGAAGCAAAGGCCATGCTGTCAAGTGGCAGAGCTGCCATCGGTGGAGGCGAGCCACCTGCAAAGCGGAGAAGGACAAAAGGCAACATTGCTAATTTCTTTGGCCCGAGAGATGAGAAGAAGAGCGACTTCGATGCTGCAAGAGCTGTGTTGTGGAAAGCACATAGCGAATCTACAAGGGATGAGAGTGGAGACGAGGCGGAGGCAACAGGAAAGGATCTTGATCCTTTCCAAGCACAGCAAAACGATGATGTACAGCGACCATCGACACCACCATTAGACGGTCACAGTTCAGACATGGACCTGTATCCACCTGACACACCTCCCTCGGCCCAACCCCAGCCCGCGTCACATTCCCCATCACAACAGCATCACGACCCAGTAACACCGATTCCTCGTGCCAGACCCTCCGTACCGCAAAGATCACCCGAGACTTATTTTTGCTCACGTTGTAACCTCCATCTCCCACCAGACGAGAAAGCCGAACACGAAGACTACCACTTCGCCCTCGACCTGTCGAAGGAAATGCGACAGGAAGAAAGGAATCCCGCACCGGCCCCTGCAAGAAAAGGTGCTGGCGGGTCGAAACCTTCTAGAGGGCGGGGACGGCCACCAGGAAACGGTGCTGGGAGAGGAGATGGGGTAGAGAAAGGACAGGCCAAGCTGTTCTTTGGAAGAGGGAGTTGATCATGTTGAGTGTTACGACGAGTCAATGTTTGAATGAAGTCACGTTGTTTGGAAGTGAACACTTTCTTCTTGAGCCCCGGATGCATTCGTGATAAGAATGTGCTTATTCGCTTTGCCTCTGCGATGGTACATGACTGCCAAAACTAATGATGTAGTCTGACGTTTACGATCCTCCATTTCACCACACGACGTCGAAGTCCAGCTGAACTCGCGG